CCACATTTAGAAAGAATGAATCTAGTAGGTAATCTATCTTGAATAGTATGCTACATAAAAATATTACCTCTAATTTGAAGTGTTTTATACCATCAAGTAGCCTCCACACCATCTTGAAAATTGACACCATCAATACAATTTCGAATAATCTTGACCGAAAAATCCCCATATAAGTCTAAAGCCCACAAAGTCATATCTTTCTATCTAAAACCATAACGTCATCCAATAAAATAATCAACCTCTGCAATTGATCCTCCTCACAACTTCCCCTAATATCATGCCTCCAAGCCTAATTCCATTGATCACCAACCCATTTATCACAAACTCGACAATCTTGATTATCATCTAGGCGAAATAGCCTATTAAATCTATATCGGAGTGGTGGAGAACCAATCCACATCTCCTCCCAAAATTTAATTGCATCTCTATTTCCAAGTCTTCTCTCTAAAGTATTAAGTGGGAGAATATTATTTTCATGAAGCTTTAGAGAAGAATTCACCAATTTAAACAAAGTTCCCACAAAAATGACTCTTCTTACCAACTCTATCAAAACCACCATGATTCCCATGATGGACCTGGTCAATCGGACCCACCCATGAGATTCATCCAACACGAACCTCCACCACCACTTTTGGAGAAGAGTGATATTAAAAGCATAGAGGCTACCAATAACCAAACCACCATTTCCCTTGCTAGCAATCACTTTTTCCCACTTAATCCAAGCCGTTTTATGATCCCCCTTTTGAGCTCCCAAAAAAAATTGCTTCGTAAGGATTCTAATTTTTTTTAATAACTCATTTAGGGGCCTGAAACATAGACATCAGATACATGGAAAGACAACCAAGAACTACTAAAGTGAGACGGCCACCCACTGAAAGACAACAATTGGCTTTCCATTTAGAAAAATCTAGTTTCAAAATTGCTAACTAGATCATCTCAATTTTCGATCTTACTCATATTAGATCCCACCGGAAGACCCAAATAAGTAAACGGTAAAACTCCCTTACCACAACCTCTTTGTTCCGCAATTTGGTTGATAACTTTAGTCTCCACCCCCACTCATTAAACAGTCGACTTATGTATCTTTATCTTTAATTCCGACATGTCTTGGAATTCTTTTAAAACTTTCGACATATTAGGGATAGCATCGGTAGACCAATTAATCTGTAACAAAAACCATGTCGTCCGCACGAGACAATCGAATAAAGAGGTAGTTAACTTTAATATATAGTTTAATCGTATTTTTACATAATTGTTATATCAGGTTTTGTCTTTATCTAAAAGTACATAGTAACAAACGTCCTTTTCCCTTAGAATCTTAGTATCAAATCTATGATGATAAAAAAGTGAGTTGCTTTTTCTACAAAACATATAATGCCCGTACACGAAATTTGATGTGCTATAGTTACTTGATACGGCAGGCCGTACACCAAAGGAATTTAGCAAAAAGTCCTTAAATGTCGACGATAACATGAGAACAAGAATCCATCTTCTTAGCATCTTAAAAACACTTGGTCTGTTATATGATGCTCGATCCATCTAAAAGAACGTATTGTTTGATTTTATATGTAGTTCAGTGGCTATCTTTTTTAATTACTAACACTATGTGGTCGACATACCATTCCCTAATAAAAAAAAGTTGAGAAACTTGTATCTTATATCATTAATATTTTATAATATATAATTTATAATAAGTTCTTTTTTGAGCTTATTTGCTACAAATTATAACACCACGTGTTCAAACTTCCATAAAAGGAAAATGTTAATTAATTTCATCGTCTTTCAAGCATTACATTGGCCTCTTTCATAAAGGGTTTCTATATTTGTCATTTTTGTTAAATTTTCAAAATTATTGCAATTAAATGGATTAAATTTACGGAAATTATGGCAATCGTGTGATTTTATAATTATAACTGGATGAATTAAAACGAGAATTAATTTAAAATTGTAGAAAACTCAAAAGTGAAGGTCAAAACAAGTAAATTGGGGACTAGGGTTGGACAATATCAAGGTTCTAAAAAAATTGTCATAGCTCGCTACGACTTCAAGGCTTGTGGTTGCCGTTGAGCTTTGATAAATTGTCGCATTAAGTCATATATGTATTTAAAAATGAATAATAGTAGAAAAAATATATCTAATTATTAATTATATACAAATTTGCCGCCTTATGGCACGCCTTACAAACGACATGACTCGTCATAGTTCGAAAATGCTTGATGTTTGACATTACCGTCAAGTTACACCTTACGTTATTTAGAACCTTGGACAATACTTACGTTGTTTGAAAACTTCTCAATTTTATAAAACGGACCTAGTAAGTAGTAGCTCTCAACGATAATTAATAAAAAATAAAAAAATAAAATAAAATTGTCTAAGCTTGATTACTAAGGGGAACAAAGTAGACATTTACATATGGTTTACTTTTTTTTAGGGCCTTATTTATATATATATATATATATATATATATATATATATATATATATATATATATATATATATATATATATATATATATATATATATATATTATTTTTATCTAGCTTATCCTAGGCATTTGATAAATGTCGTGCCCATTTATTGATAAAAAACTGTACTAAGGGGCTGTTTGGTAGCCTCTTAATTGAGAAATTAAGAGGCGGCCTCTTATTATTTAAGATGTAGAGCGTTTGATAGCCTATGAATAAAAGACTCTTAATTTCTTAAAATCCTCTTAAACTTTCAGACTTGAAATCATATCTGAATAAAAAAAATACACGCCCTTCCCTCTATTGCCCTCATATGAACGCTTCCATAACCCACCTTCACTAGATCTTCTCTCCTGTCTCCTCCCACCTCCCACCGACTCCAACGCCAATCACCTCCTCTCATCACCGAACACCTCATCCTATCGTCGGCCACCTCCTCCCATCGTTGACTCGCACAACACCGCCGCCCCATTATAGACCTCGTACACCCATATGTTTCACATAAATTTTGATATCACTCCCACCTCCATGAAAATCGAGTCCCACCACTGAACTACGACCCCCGACGCCAAGCTCCGACATCTCCAGCTCCGCCCTCGAAAGCGCCGCCATCGCCAACGCCGGTCTTCGATCTCCTTTATTGGTCAGGTATGAAGTTGCTAAAATCACTCCTCATTCGTGAAATCGAATTTTTTTCATGATGTGAAATCAAAAATCGATTTAATATTCTGAGTTTTTAAATGTTCATATTTTGGTTTTTCTGTGATGTTGTGATGTTTTGAATCTGTAGTTTCATTCCAAATTAGTTATTGATTTATAGTTTCATGGAATAATCATAGTTGTTCTTATCATAAACTGATCTACAGTTTCCAAATTGGTTATGGATTTAGAGTATTGTGTGATTTTTGATGGTTAAGATGATGGTGGATGAAGGCTGTGAACTTTTTTTTGTCCAAATTGTTCGTTTTTGTCTCTCATTTGAGCAATTGGAACTTTAGAGTTTAGGCATTGATGTTTGACCTTGAGTAATTGGAACTTTGGCATCTGATGTTTCTTGTATCTATTTTGCTTTTGTATGATGAAGATGTTAATTTCTCATCCATCTGCAGAAAATTCTCATTGTGGAACAATGTGGAAAAACCATTAAGCTTCAAATTGTGAGGATTCTCTTCTGAAAATATATATAGAAGATTATATATGTATGGATTGGGTTGTATGTATGTAATGTGATCCATATAAGCATAAAGTTTAGGTTGTTTTCATAACTATTGTAAAATTGTTTTTGTAAGGGTTAAATACAAAAAACAGTAATGTATTTTTATTGATTTATTTATTATAGCATTATACTTTTACCTCTTTATATTAGAGTAGTGTTTGATTTAATTTTTTTTTTTAATTTGAATTTTGCATTGTGTTTATACTTTTTTTTTTATAATTATCCAAGAAGTTGGTTTGGTTATTTTATAAATAGAAACATTGAATTAAACAAAAAAATAACAGTGAAGGGTAAAATGGTCATTTTTATAATTCAGTACATCAATTCAGATGTTCCAACCAAACAGCATGTTAAAAATTCAGAACTTAAAGTTTCAGATCCTCTTAGAAATTCAGACCTCTTAAAAATTCAGATGCTGCCAAACAGCCCCTAAGTCGTACACATCATATTAAGAGCATCTCGGTAATTTTTTTATAAATTATTATTATACATGTTTTTTTTAAATAAACACTTATTGTCATTGGAGTATTTTTAGTTATTTGTTTTTTTTTCTATTGACCACTCTATCTTTTGTCATTTATTACCCTCATATTTTAGTTATATTTCACTTTAATCACTTAAATAGGGAAAATGACACACACGCCCTATAAAGTTTCTAGGGTTGATCTTTTTAGTCACTAAACTATTTTTGTGGCCTTATAAGGGAACGAAGTTGTGTTTGTCGGGTTAATTACATCATTTTGGCCAAAATGAAGGAGTCACCCGGTTACTTCTTTGATACATTGTGAAAGTCAACTTTTCTATGGATTACTTGGACTTTGTGAAAGTCAACTTTTCCCTCCCTCCCACTGAATTGTAATCAACTCTAGCACCCACAATCGTGTTCTCTTGAGCTGCCAACACAACCCACACCCACCCATTATCACTGTTGTTGTCGTGGATGGAGGTCGACATACTGTATGCGAAAACGACCTGCTTTCAAAGGATCAACTCCAATCAATCTCTCGGATCGTCTAAACCAAGTCCTCCGGTGGGCCCTGGGCTCAGTCGAGATCTTTTTCAGTCGGCACAGCCCTCGCTTTCAAAGGATCAGCTCCAATCAATCTCCCTGTCGTCTACCTCCTCACCGGAAAGTTTATCATGCCGAAGATTAGCACCTTAGCAAGTTTTAAGAGTAAATTACATGTATTGTCAATGTGTTTGATGCTCAAACATGGCTCAGTGCTACTCTCACGAATCTCGAAACTTGTTTTTCGGGTTCTCAAGACTTCAATTTGACAAACTTTGTCTCTCCACTCAAATCGCATAACCTTACTGAGATGATAAGCAATAATTTGGCAATAAACCAGTTTTTCTTGAAGAAAAAGTCAGCGAGTGATGATGATCGGGAGCTAGATAATGATTTTCCGACTTGGGTTACACCCGGCGACCAAAAATTGTTACATACAGGTTCACTTCGCACAAAGGCTAATTTAGTCGTGTCTCAGGCCCGTGGGAGTAAGTTCCGAACCATTCAATTAGCTCTAAAATATGCAGCATGTTATAATCATCGGAACAAAAGATATATCATCTACATAAAGAGAGGAGTTTATAAGGAGAACATCGAGATTGGAAACGATCTAAATAATATCATGTTCCTTGGTGATGGAGCTAGATACACCATTATCCCTGGTTCCCGGAGTGTCGGCGGCGGTTTCACAACTTATAGCTCTGCAACCGTCGGTAAGATCGATTCTTCTCTTTTCCGATCATTTACTCAATCATAAATCTTTCTTGTTATATATACGTTATAGTCAACACAAGTTATCTACGTTTACACGTAATGCTATGATCTAAGCTAAGTAAAGTAGACGATTTATGAGTGAAAGCATATAAAATATGCATCGTACGTAAGTACGTTACTGCATGCAATCTCTTCATCATGCAGTTTACTTAATTATCATCAGGATGTTGGTTTTGGAGGTCGCTTTGCAGAAAGCTCAAGAAGCTCAAAGTTGCAGTAACGACCTCAGTAATAAAAGCAAGAGCAAAAGAAAGATGGTGGTGTGGCTCGATTGCAACAAGATCTGGGTTCAATTTGCAATGGTGAGAGCTGGTGGTGGTTAAAGTGGTTGTTTCCAGCCAAGGAGAGGAAGATGGGAGACGACTAGAGGCGATGCGGCAGGCGGGGTTGCTGTCGGTTTTGTTTAGAAGAGGTTTAACGAGAGAGAGAGAGAGAGAGAGAGAGAGAGATGGGTGGGTCTCAAGTTTTCTCTATATGTCCCTTAAACCGACTAAAACAAGTTAAGGGGACTAAAAAGACAAGTTGCCCCATAAAGCCACGAAAAAACTTAAATGACTAAAAGAGTCAGTCCTAGAAACTTTATAGGGTGTAAGTATCATTTTCCCACTTAAATATATTTTAGTTTTAAATATTTTTTTATTTTTGTAATAAATAATTATTTATATTAAGTATTTAATGACATTTCATTTATGAAATATAAAATTATAATGATTGTATAACTTTTTTCAATATTTTTTTATGAATATTTCGTGATAGTGTTTTCGTATTAATTTTTTCGAACGATATTTTGTAATATATTTCTTTTGAAACAACGTATTGTAATATTTTTAATAAATTAAAATATGATGTGTGTTTAAAAAACAAATAATTAAATAAAAAGGTTTTATAGAACATTTTAGATAGGTATGAATAAATTAGTTAAATTTTTATAAAAAAAAATTATAGGAACAGTTTAACCATTAGAAATGTTATTTAATTAAAGGTTAAAGTTATTGAAATAATAGTGTAACAATAATTTGAAGTCTTATATAACATAACCATTGGAGATGCTATGAAAACTTAAAATCCTTACAAATAAATGATATATGACCCCTAAGAAAGGTTCTAACAACGAAATGTTTTGGGACAAAGAATAATAGAAAGAACCTACCCATTCATTACTATGAAGAGTCATATATATATATATATATATATATATATATATATATATATATATATATATATATATATATATATATATATATATATATATATATATATATATATATATATATGGTACAAGTAAATATAAAATTATACTAAAAAAAGGGTTTGTTTGTCCAAGCCCAAATTTGTGCGTGACACGTGTTAACAGATAATTACAAGAACCGACACGAAAGTATTGTTAATGTATTTATTTAGTCTATTATGTGAATTGACATCAAAGTATTGCGAATTTATTTATTTAGTCTCTCAAGTTCAAAACACATTACATTAAACCTATAATTTATGAAATTATAACTATTTCGCCACTTGGACTAGTATAGAAAGTCGAACTAGCTATCCTTCTTCGTAGCAAGTCATGTACGCAAATTCTGACTCATCTTCATCCAAATGACGCTAACATAGCGTCCATATAATTTTTTTTTTTTTTTTTAAAACACTAACTTTTTTTTTTTATTATTATTATTATTATTATTATTATTATTATTATTATTATTATTCAATTAATAAAAAGTTTTACTCAAGTACCTTACGTAAAAATGTATAAACAATTCAATCACAAGCTCTAACTTAAAAATATCATAGTTATGATTTTGTAGTATACTAGGTGTCATGCAATTCAATCACAAAATTAAGTTAAGTCACAATCTTTTAAGTTGGTACTTGAAAACACTTATAAGCTCTAACATTTTTCATTCATCAAAGTATTTAATCAAAATAAGCTCGTTGAATTATCCTAACCTTACTAACCTAATTTAAACAAACTCTTAGAATTAAAATGAAAAACATTACGATCAATGTAAATGTTCCCAACAATATTCGATACTTCTCATAAATTCGGAAGTGTAAGAACATGCAATTATAGTTTAGACCAAAGTTAATCCCATCATAGAACCAATTCGATGTGTGTTACTTTGCTTTCAATTCATTAAACAATTACAAATTCTACAAATTGAATAACGAGAACGATTTAAACCTAACTCAAGTGGCCAACATGAACCAAGATCAAATCAAACATTAGGTTAACGTAAAACTACAATTGCTAGATAAAATCATGAACAAAAAATCATTTTATATTATTAAATACGTAAACGCAATCGTATTACATATTCGAAATAGAAAGGCTTTAGTCGGACATGACTAAAATATAAAAATCAAAGTCTACAAATTGAAGTTACCATGCTAATTCGACTTACAAATAAAACCAAAATGTTTCTAAATGAAATCCAAGTGAATCCTAGCAAGAGCCTCCGGTAAAAATCTCTCTTATGCCGTCCATGTTTGCTAATGTTATTGTCATTTTTAAATCATATATATAAATATGACTTATTGTTTGATGGATTCTGACACCTCATCATTAGGTCTCATTTATAATGTAAGAAAGTTGGTGGGATGTTTATTTAACTTATTTTGAAAGTTTAATAGCAACATTATGTGTTGACATGGAAGTATTTTGATTATTGTGTTTAAATTTTATGTTTCTCAAGATGGAATTGTATTCCCATATTTATGCGTAAGTTTTGAATTTTAAGACTTCCTACTATGTGCGCATGGATATTTCATATGTTAAGATGTATTTTTTGAATAGTACATAAATTGTATGGTGAAAATCGAAAATAATATTAGGAGTGTGCATCAAACTGTAAAAACTGCCCACACTGTATCACACTGCACCGCATAATGCGGTTTTCAACATTCGCAGTGTGGTTTATAGTTTTTGTAAACCGCAATATGCTGTGCGGTTTGCAATTTATGATTATAAAACCGCATTTAAACCACACCACATCGTAATATATATATATATATATATATATATATATATATATATATATATATATATATATATATATATATATATATATATAAAAGACTCATTTGTTAATGAAGTTACGTACGAATATAAGAACGATTTCAAAACATTGATGTTAATTGATGTGAGTAGGGTGAGCATTTGGATTCGTGGACCGGATCGGACCCTTTTTTTGGACCCCGGGCCGGTTCTCGGTTCTAAGATTTATATCCGGTCCGGTCCGGTCCGGTTTTTTTCCCGGTTCGGTCCGGTTTTTACCGGGTTTAGAACCGGTTGGACATGTTTAAGATTTCTGTGATATTTTTTAAACACTCATAACTTATTCGTTTTAAGTCGGATTGACTTTCGGTTTTTCCAACATTTATTTTATAGTTTGTAGATGAATTTAGATTATAATTTTGTTTATTTTAGTATTATATTTACTGAGTTACAATCCTTCAAAGTAGAGCTATCAAAGCTGAAAAAATTCAGTTTTTCATCAATCTGTGACGTTTTTTGAATACCCATAACTCATTCGTTTTAAGTCGGATTGACCTGTGGTTTTTTTCCAACATTTAGGTTATAGTTTGTAGATGAATTTAGAATTTTTTTTTTTTTATTTTGGTATTATATTCACTAAGTTACAATCCTTCAAAGTAGAGCTATCAAAGCTGAAAAAATTCAGATTTTCAGCAAGATTTTGTAATCTGTGATGATTTTTAAACACCCATAACTCATTCGTTTTAAGTCAGATTGACCTCTGGTTTTTTCCAACATGTACTTTACAGTTTGTAGATGAATTTAGACTATAATTTTGTTTATTTTGGTATTCTATTAACTGTGTTATAATCCTTCAAAGTAGAACTATCAAAGCTGAAATATTTCAGCTTTTTAGTATTAGTTTATACTACATCTGAATTTTATGTATCTTTGATAGATAAATCATATGAAAGGGATCTCGGTAGAGTACCGGAAAATTATGAATTTGAAGTTGTAACTGAAATTGTGAAGTTCTTTGAAAATTTCAAAACAAAAACGGAGCTTGTTTCGGCTACATCAAATCATTTGGTAAATCTTTTTATCTGGGAAGTCTTAGATGTGGACATACATCTAAGAAAGTGGTCAACCAAACCAATGTTTCTCGATATGGTAAAAGATATGAAGACAAAATACAACAAGTATTGGGGTTCATACAACAAGATGAACAATTTTTATGTACTTTGTGGTTTTAATTGATCCTAGCACCAAATCACATTTTTTGTTACATGCTTTTAAAAAAATGATCGGGTATATCGAACCGTCATTGACCCCCGCGGGTATAGACATAAAATCACGTCAAATGGTCCGAGAGGTTGAGAATAGGATGGAGAATTTATTTATGACCTACTTGGAACTATTTGACAAGGGTGGATCATCTCAACAAGAAGCGAGTCAAATAGTCATTGATGTTGATGATGATAACGATTTTTCGGTGATTTTCTTTATACAGGAGGTAGCAACTCGAATCCAACGGATAACGAGTTCCAAACTTATTTAAAAGAGAATATAGTTAATTATAAAAAAATATTTCTCAATGCTCGGGTGGTGGAAAGTAAACGCGATTAGGTTCCCAACACGGTTTAACATCCCACACTGAACTCCTGTCCTGACTGGGATTCCTCAACTTGGTTCCCCATAGTCTACGGCACATCAATTAGATGTGGTCCTAAAGTTGGGAAGTTTCCTGAACATCGAATTCACATTATCCCTCATACAGATAGCTACTTAGGCCACCTTTTCCTTTCCTGATGGGGATACGAGCTCATCCCAATTTCACGCTTGCTTCTATCCTAGGTACCTGAACGGTTCTCCCTCACTTTAATCCGACTAAGTCTCCACGACATATGAGAAATGGAAGGATTTTCGGTCCTTCCTATCTTCCTATGATCGATCTGCTGACAACCAGCGCTTACTAATGCTAGCGATTCATTACTAGCCGAACTTACAAGACCATACAACTTCTGAAGACTATATGAACACTTTTTGAATCCCAACAATACTGATAACTCCAGATGCCTTGAAATGATACCACACTCAGATCTTGAAGTCCAATTAACCGATGCTCAGAGCAAAACTTCAGTAGTAGACCACTTCCCTTGGCGACCCCATGATTCAATCTGAGTATAATGATTGAATCCTCTGAATCCTGACGAGGGTGGGTAACCATCCTGCTGAACCCTGACCACATACCTTCCACATAATTCCCCCGAACCGATCTCGACCATAAACTAAGATGACACCGAACACTCTGAACCAGCAAAAAGGAAACAAACCTTCCCTAACCACTTTGAA